CTCAATCATAGCCAACTCTTTGCAGCCCCATGGACTGCAGCATGCCAAGCTTCTCTGTCCTTCACCATCTCCCGGAGCTTGCTCAAATTCATGTCCATTGAGTCGGTGATGCCATCCAACCATCTCGTTCTCTGTCTTCCCCTTCTCCTCCTGCCTTCAATCTTTCCCAGCATCAGGGTCTTTTATAGTGAGTCAGTTCTTTACATCAGGTGGCCAAAGGATTGGAGTTTCACCTTCAGCATCAGTCCTTCCAATGAATATTCCAGGTTGATTTCCTTTAGGATTGACTGGTTTCATCTTGAAGTCCAAGGGACTCTCAAGAGTCTTCTCTAACACCACAGTTCAAAGGCATCAATTCTGCAGGGCTCAGACTTCATTATGGTCCAATCCTCACATCCATACATGAGTACTGGAAAAACCATAGCTTTGACTATATGAACCTTTTATGATTTACATGTTAATCACATGCAAAGAAACACTTGCACAGCAACATCTAGACTGGTTTGTGACTTACAGTCTGGGTACCACGGCCTCACCAAGTTAACACATAAAGGTAACCATCACAGTTCACCCCTTGTCAGTTTGGCACCTGTACACATCTCCTTACACCACATTTATTCTCCAAATAAACACAATGACAAAGTCACACTTCCAGATAACACTATGCACAACTATGCTGTGCACAACAGAAGATGCACTAACCCTTTCTGCAGAAGAGGACACAAGTTCTTTGAGTGATGTTTACTCTTCTCCTTGATAGCCTTAACATTAATATTGTGATATAAAGTTGGACAATGCTTCAGTGCAATACATCTTATGTTATGTGAGCAGGATTAGAAAGGGAATAAAACAAAGACATTATAGATACACATACATAAAAACATATTCATAACAAAATATGGAAGATATACTAGTAATAATTAAAGTCCTGATTGTGGTTCTTTTTTACCTAATGGGGTGATCCAACATTAACTCCTGAAGAGTCTGGACCATTAGTACTCCTGTCTGAAGTAGACTGTTGTAGTTTTCCATTATCTGTCATCAAAGGGTATGATAGTAATAAGATATGCCCTAAGTCATCTGTCATATTCCATATATATTCTTCACTACATCCATTCTGAAGTAGTATTCCAACTTCCTAATGGTAATCAGACTTAATCACTCCATCAAGTGCATTGACATCCTTCTTTGTCATTTGATTCAGAGGCATAAGGATGCCAAAGTAGCTGGGTGGCAGTCTTAACTTCCAGTTCAATGGAATTACTGGGAGTCCTGGTGGAAGCATTCCTCTCTCAGGAACTAAGACCTCTTGATCAGCATGAGATCACAGGGACAGGAAGCAAAAATTTTGCTAGTAAATCTCTATGGGTAATAGTGTATGTGGTGTCACTCTATTTCCAGCTTTGATACCTGGACCTACATAGTCTGGTTATAGAAGAAACAGAATCATAATACTGATTGCTGATTTTGAGCATATGCAGCCTCTTAAAGAGCCTTGCCCCAACCCTGAAAGGTATTCCCACTATCCTGGTTCTGTAACTAGGTCTTCAAAAGGCCATTCCACAGTTTGATCAAGCCAGCTGCTTGAGGATGATGGGGAACATGGTAAGAAGAGTGAATTCCATGAGCAGACCCATTGCTTTGTTTTACTTGCCGTATTTGTCAGTGTTCTCCAGAGAAACAGAAAAAATATTATTTTATACACATGTATATATATACATATGTATGTATATATATATGTATATTGATGCAGTGGTAAAGAATCTGCCTTCCAATGCAGGAGATGCAAGAGACTCAGGTTCAGTCCCTAGGTTGAGAAGATCCCCTGGAGGAGGAAATGGCAATCTGCTCTGGTGTTCTTGCCTGGAAAGTCCCATGGACAGAGAAGTCTGCCAGGCTACAGCTCATGGGGTCACAAAGAGTCAGACAGGACTGAACGACTTAACACTAGCACTGTGTATATAGATGTTATGTATATAATGTGTATACATATATATGTGTGTATATAATGTATATACATGTATATGTATATTATATAATATATATATGAAGATATATATATTTTTTTAATGGGTTCATGTAATTAAGGATGGTAAGAAATCCATGATCTGCTATCTGTAAGCTGAAAACCCAGGAAAGCTGGTGGTATAATTCAGTCCATGTCCGAAGGCCCAAGAACCAGGGGAGCCAATGGTGTAGGTTCCAGTCTGGGTCTGAAAGCCTGAGAATCAGAAAAACCAAGGAAAAGTTCAGCTTCAACTCAAGAAATCAGTCAAGAATTTTAAAAGGGCAAATTTTTCCATCCTCTGCCTTTTGTTCTTTTCAGGTTCTCAATAGATTGCATAATTCCAAACCTACAATGGGAAGAGTAGTCTATTTTAATGAATCCCCTGATACAAATACTAGCCTCATTCAGAAACACCATCACAGACATATCTAGAAATATCACATAGCCTGGGCATCCCATGGCCATTCAGACCAACACATAAAATTAAGTGTCAGAGAAACAGTGTCTTGTGAAGCACCATGATGATAAATAAGACATTTTATAAGTCCTCAGATGAGAATTTTGACAGAAGAACTGCATGCAAGGAAGACAAATCCATATCCAGAGAAAGTCTTTATACCAATAAGAACAAAACACTGTCATTTCATGATATGTCCTGGCACAGTCAACCTGCTCCCAGGCAGCTGGCTCATCAATCCTGGTAAAAGTGTCTTATTTGGACTCAGTGTTGGTCTTTATAGACATGTCAGTCATGGTGAGCGAAAATTCATGCTGCTGAACCCATGTATATCCACAGTTACCCTGCTTAAAGATTGCAAGTCCCTTTGAGGAAGATAGGGGGAAAGACTGACAGTATTTAACTCTTGAGCAGGGTACCAGGGTTTTTCTTCAAAGGGAATGGGCCTCTCCTTCATTCAAAGAGTTCTGGGTTTTATAAACTAGCTCAAGACGAGAAATTGATTGGGGGAAACTGATTCTCTCTTTTTATGATTCAGTTTTGTTCATTTGACTTAGAACTCTTAAATTTACATATATCAAGTGAAAATTTAGTAGACTTGACATTTACTTCACTTGTAAGTACAGAGAGATTAACTAGCAGAGACAGAGCTCTCTGGCGGTCAGAACACGGACTGCCGCATTGACCCTGTCATCCATTACTGTAGCCGCACCCACTTTGCTATTGGTGACTAAGTGCTGACACTTGCTCCTGCTGTTCTGGGATCCAATTATCCCTCTTATGTTTAGGTTTCTCAATTTGGTGACATCAGATTCCATTGTAGTTTTTGGCTTATAGAGAACCACCACAGAACTCTTCAAGGATGCCAGGGCTTCCCTTACAATTGATTTCTCCTGGTCATTTTAAAAGGGGAGTCCTCTGAACCCTTCTGGGGTGGACAAGCAGATCTTAAATGACAACTTCACCCTAGATTCCAATAACACCAAGCTTCCAGATCCCTTCCTCTGCAGTAAACTAAGGCAGTTCTGGTGTTTCACCTTCCTTTCGTGGAGACTGCCTTTGCTTCATGTTATAGCCAATCAACCATTTGTTAGAGCCCTTTCTAACTCCTAAAGTTACAATGTTAAATCTAGAATATATACTTGGCTGATCTAAATCCATAAAATTGGCCTGATCCAACTTTAAGTCCCTTCCACAATTACCCCGCCCCTAATATCCATTCCACACATAAGTCCTGGGTTTGTATGTATATAAATCAGAAAATATCATGTGGAGTGTAGTACACTTGCTTGTGGGTCACACTTTATGCCTCCTCCTTTGAGGTCTTCTGGGACTTCAGTCCACTTCTCTAGGAGCAAAGGGAGGCAATGGGGTGGTCCTGGTGAGAACCAGCAGTCTCTCGCAAGGTTACTTCTTATGGCAGGGTCATTACCATTTCCTGGGACAATACAGGTTTAATTTACTCGGATGGGGTAGAAAGGCCTGCTTCTACTACAAATAACAACAACAACAACAATGATAATAATAGACCTGAATCTAGAAATTCAAGGTTTTGCCTTTTCAGAATCTTTCCAAATATTTGCATTCCAATTTTCAGAATCCTGGGAATGAGTCAGTTACACATCATGTGAGGCATGATATCAGATTCTCACGTGCTACAGACATACCATCACTTCTGTGGAATCCCTTACATAATTGCATAATCACATCTAGTTAAGAAGACCCCCAGACAAACCCCAACTGAGGGTTTGTCCACCAAACCAAGAGCTCCTGAAATATGCCCAGGACGTGAACGACAAAAAGCCTAAGGGCTGTCACAGACAGGAGGAGATTGAAGAATCATGGAAACTAAATGCAGTGTTGGCTCCTGGATTAGACTCTGAATCAATAAATTTTTTGTTTTGCTATAAAGGGCATTAGCAGCACAAGCGGCAAATTTGAACAAGGTCTGTAGATACTGAGGCATTAGGGGAACCAGAAGTTGAGTACAGAGTATGAAAAAGATGATGTAGGAATAAAAATATCAGTTCAGACAAGAAGGAATACAGGTTTCTAGCTTTATTGTTTCACATCAGGCTGGTTTATGCAAAAAGAGAAGCTGCAGGGGGACATGGGGTCTGTGCTTTGGGATTCTCAGAGATTCCACACATATGAAAAGGAGGTGAATAAATGGATTGGGGAGGGAGTCTGGGGCTCCTGGACCCAAGGAATAGGTATTCCCTGGACCAGAGCTCAAAGGCCTCACCCAGACCCCCAGCAACTGGGGCAGGCCCAGCAAGAGGGGCAGGAGAAGAGGAAGTGTTTGTCCCCAGGCCAGCTCTTCTTGGCTCAGCGTCCACTTCAGCAGCAGCCGCCTCCAGAGGACTGACTGCTCCCCCCTCCACAGCACCCGGAGCCCCCCGAGGGCTGGCTGCAGCAGTCAGACCTCTGGGGTCTGCGGTGGTGGGACCTGCGGCGCCTGTGGTGGCTCAGACAGCAGCCCCCAGCCCCAGAGCTGCAGCAGCCCCCGGAGCTGGAGCCGCAGCAGGAGGAGACTGGGGGGCACTTCGGGGGACACTTTGGGGGGCATTTAGGAGTAGGGCACTTGGGGGTGCATTTGGGAGGGGGTTGGCACTGCTGTTGGTTCTGCTGGCAGGACATCTTGGTGGGCAGGCTCAGGAGCTGAGGGAGAATCAGAGAACAGGTCAGACCAGCACACAGAGACTTCCCGGCCCCTTCCTGACCTTTCACCATCTTTCTATCCCCTTTAGTTTGACAAACTCTTTAAGGCAGTCCTAGATAAATAAACACTGAAAGTTTCATTGTTCCCAGTGGTTGCTCAAATGCTCTCATATCTTCTTTTTTAAATGTCAAATGTTCTCCTGCTCTATAATTGGAAAAACTGAGACCAAATAATAAGAAAATGTTCTCAAACCCAAACATCCAGTATGTAGGAGAGCTACTATAATTATACTATAAGAACCATGAAAAAAATCCAAGAAGCAGTTTAGAAATGAAGTCGTATCTTTAGGGAAAATAGTCATTCCCTCTTGGAAAATTTCCTAGATATTCTTGTCCTATAGGGACATAGATGTTCACAGTCTCAAAGGATGCTGGAGATTGCCCAGGAGAAGTAGCTTTTTAATTAATGTAAGCTGGGACTTGCACTCAGGTCCTTGAGCTAGTCCAGTGCTCTGCATTCTCCATAGACACCACAAACTAATACCTCAGCACCAAGCTTTGGGGTTTGCCTCTTCACTTCTGCAGACCCACTAATCTGGGAGTTTATAAGAGGTCAGTCAGTTCTGATTTCTTCTCTCCTGGCTGAGCACTACTGTCACCATCTCTGCTTTTCCAGGAGGACAGTTACATTTTCAGAGATAAGCGTCCCTTTTTGGACACACCTGTAGGTTAGCATGATGATCAATGTTGCAAATCCTTCAGATCACTGACCAAAGAACACATCAATTGGGTTTCTCTAGAGCACTCAGTCACAACTCCACAACTCCTCCTACCCAGGTTCCCAGCCTCCTCATTGCCCCTTCCCTCAGCTTTCCCAAGACCTGTTATTTTGCTAAAAAAAAAGACCAGTCTCATCCTCTTCTCACCCTCCCCATCACAGCATACACACACACAGGCATGCAGACACATTGCAAAGCCTCCACATGTCCTCCCCACTGGTCTAAGCATCGTCTGTAGAAAGCCCTGCTCCAGTTCCCAGTGGACACTCACCAGTGCCTATGCAGCACAGCGTTGTCAGCACCCCAGGAGAGGAGTGGATGGAGGTGCTCTGGCCCCAAGGCCCTTTTATCCCAGCCTTGCACTCTGCCCTCAGATGTGAGACAGTACCTGGGCATGAGAAGACTGCTTCCTTCCACCCATGTGGTTCCTGTGACAGCTGGTGACTGGCAGTGCCTCGCCTCCCTGCACGTGGCTCAGGACATCTGTGACCACCAAGGATACGGCTGCTCAGAAGTGAAGGCAGGGAGGGAAAATCCTCTTGTCCTTCCCCACTTGTTCTTTCTGAAGGGTCCCTTTCTTGAGGACTCCTGCCTTTCCTTCTTGGAACCATCCTGCCTCCATCCCTACCCCTTGCTCTGCCCAACACTACCTTTTTCTTCCCAAATGTTTTTAATGACTACATACAATCTGGTTTAAAGCACATTTTAAAGATATTTGTTCATGTTTTATTCCATCTTCATAACCCTGACACTATATATATATATTAAATAGTTGTGTGGTTTCAACTTTGTAGTAATGGCATCATACTTGAGTGACTCATCTGTAACTTTCTTCTTTACACAGGACTTTGTGAGTTACTCAAGCTGATTTGAGTAGCTATAGTTTCTTTCTACAATGTATAGTATCTATCTTATGAGTACAGCGTGAGAGCTTGATTTTATCCTTCCTCTTTTTTTAGATGAGCACTTAGACTGTTTACTCTCTTTGCTGTATTAAGATTGCAGCTATGGAGATTTTTGTTTGCTTTCGTGTATATTGGAGAGATTGTCTAAGTTAAGCCCCTACAAGTGGGGCTGTTGTGTTTTAGATCATGTCCATCACTCTAATTTCCTCTTATCAATTTCTAGTTCTATTTATGATATATTAATATAAGAATCACCCTTTCTACATGCTGTTACTGGACTTAAAATAATTGCCATTTGATGCATATGAATTGGTATACTACTGCAGTTTTAATGTGTCTTTTTGCTTAGTAATGATCATGAGCATCTTTGTATGTTGGTCATTTGGATTTTCTCTTCTATGAATTTTCTGTTTTTATTTTAAAACTATTTTTCTATTTTTAATTTCCTTTTGTTAGGATCTGTCAGTGTTCTTCACATATCCTGGTTACTAATGCACTATTAAATGAGTTGTATCTTTCCTGAATAAATTGTTTTCCTGTTTGCCTTTTAATGCTGTCATTTAATTAGAAAGTGTTTTATTTTTAATATAACTGCATTTCTGCACCATTGTATTGTTTGCACTTTTCATGATTTTAAGACTTCTCAACCATTTATAAATTCAGAAATCTGTTATTTTCAGTTTTCTTTGGAAAGTTGTAAAATTTTGCTTTCTTTCAGAAGTTAAGGGAGTTTGGGGCAGAATGGATACATGTATATGCACGGCCCAATGGCTTTGCTGTGTGCCTGAAAAGATCACATTGTTAATTGGCTGTACACCAATATAAAGTAAGAAGTTTTTAAAAAGTTAAGGCCTTTATTCAACCTAGAAAGAATTTTTGTATAATTTCATATTTAACATTTTTTCCAAGTGGATAACAGTTGTCTCCTTATCATAATCAAATATTTCACTTTCGCCGCTAATCTAAAATACCTACTCAGTCATAACTGAATTTCCACATGTGTGTACTTCTGTAGTTGAACTGATTATTTTCACTGTCAGTTTGTCCCTGTGAGAATATCCTGCTGCCTTCATTACTGTAGGTGTGAAATCAGTCACACTATCTAATCATACAGGTCCCGTGATTTTGTTCTGCTCCCTAAGATTGTTTTAACAATTATTAGATCTCTACTCTTTCTTACAAATTTTAGAGTCAGCTTGTCACGTCCCACAAATGGAAATGAAGAAAGACAAAACATCTTCAGAATTGTGATGAAAATTTCACACAATATTTTCATTAATTTGTGAAGGAGTGACAAATTTTATAATTTTTCTTTCTATTCATTCATAAATACAGTATAACTACTTATTTTGGTACTTTATAATGCATTTCAATAAAGTCTTCTCTTTTACTAAAAAATTTTACACAAGGACCATATTTTAGACTTTATATATTTTTTATATTTTAGCAAATTCTAAAATTATATTTTTGAATTACTTTTTGTTGGTCAGTAAAAACATAATTTGTTATATATTCTGATATATCTTGCAACTTTTCTAACATTTGCTTTTATTTTAATTTCCTGTAGCAATTATTCTTACACATATGATTTTTATATAATCATTTTTCCTTAGGTTACATTCTTAGAAGTTCAATGCCTATTTTAAAGAGTATGTTCATCTTAAAGCTAATTTGTATACAAAGAGTAATTATGTGTTGAATAATGAATCACCAAACTTCCATTCAGATGACTAGGCCAATTTATATTTCTAACAACTTAAAATCCACTTCTGATCACCTTCAGCAATACTAAGCTTTCTTACCCCTTTTATATTTGTTCCAGTTCTGTATAAAGGGATAAATCTGATAGGCCTCCTTCCTGAGAAGTCATTCTTATTTATTTGTACTTTGTGGTTACTTGCACGTACAAACATGAAACAATAAATTAAAATGCATTACCCATGTGAATTTCTTCCTAAGCTATTTGTTCTTGCATTTTGTCCATTAGTTTGTAAGTAGGTTTATTTATTTTCTATAAAATTATAATAAATTACTGTTTATTTTGAATTTTGACCTATTACTGATTTGTATATTTTGTTGGTTGTTTTTTGTGGTTGTTTTTAAAATGATGCATTGCCCCATATAGGTTTTTAATGTGGTGATATTTTATTAATTACCTTATTTTAATTGGAGGATAATTGCTTTACAATACTGCAGTGGGTTTTGCCATACATTGATATGAATCAGCCACAGATGCACATGTGTCCCCAGACCTGAATCCCCTCCCACTTCCCTCCCCACCCATCTCTCTCGATTGTCCCAATGCACCAGCTTTCAGTGCCCTGCTTCATGCATCAAACTCCCACTGGTCACCTGTTTTACATAAGGTAATACACATGCTTCAACACAATTCTTTCGAATCATCCCACCCTCACCTTCTCCCACAGATCCCAAAAGTCTGTTCTTTACATCTGTGTCTCTTTTGCTGCCTTGCATATAGGGTCGTCATTGCCATATTTCTAAATTCCATATATATGTATTAATATACAGTATTTGTGTTTCTCTTTCTGACTTAGTTCACTCTGTAGGATAAGCTCCCGTTTCATCCACCTCATTAGAACTGACTCAAATGTGTTTGTTTTTATAGCTGAGTAATATTCCATTGTGTCAATATGTACCACACTTCCTTATCCATTCATCTGCCAATGGACATCTAGGTTGCTTCCATGTCCTAGCTATTGTAAACAGTGTTGCAATCAACATTGGGATACATGTGTCTCTCTCAATTAATGTGGTGATATTTTTTGCCATGCTTAAAATATTTTACTGACAAAAAATCACTAGGTACATATTCTAGTAATTTTGAAGTATTGATTTATTGTTGTTAGTATAAGTAGATGTTTGGAGTAGAAGGAAATGAGAAAGAATCACTTATATGTATAGTGTGGGATCTGGAAAACAGAGGAAAGTTCACCATCTGCATTAATTCTCACTAGAGGTCAGCATTCTTCTTTCCTATCTCCTGAGATTATGAGAGCCTGACCACAGAAGAAACATGTTCTCTCAGAAAATCAGTCCTTCACTAGCACACATCATTTATGTTAAAACAGTACCCAAGCCATTGAGATCTAAACCCAGTTGTAAAGATGTTACATCATGTTGCTAAACCCAAGTCAAGTTGACTGGTATTTTAGGGCACTGCCCTTTGTGGTGGCAGAGGCATGGACAGAATAATTTCCACAGCCCATCATCTTTGGAATGAATAGACTGGATTCCTGAATCAAAGCTACCTGCATGAGAAAGTAGTCAAAATCTTGACTACATTCTAATTAAATATACTCTTTGAAACAGCATGAACCATACCCAGGTATTCAAAGAGAAGATTTATGCAAGATGATAGGGTTTGTACACTGTAATGTGAACATCTCCGAGTAAGAATTCTGTTGATGATGGCTCAAGTCATCATCAAAGTAAAATTAGCACTAATATTAATGAATAAATTTTAAAACTCATTACCCATTGAATGCACAGTCCTATATTAGGAGCTGATGAGGGAGATAGAAATATAAGACCCAAGCTGAGAATTCAAGGAGAGTTTGTTTTAAATGTGTTTCAGGCAAAAAACTCAAAAAGAATATCACAGCAAGTTATATTTGAACAAAACAGTTTCAGTAGAACATAAAACATGGAATAAAGCATAGGAGTTTGACAAGCAGAAACAAATTACAGTAGGAAAAAAGTGAGCCATTTCAGTTTAAGAAGAACATTTCTAAATGGAAGTAGCAAAGTTTATACTGGAGATGTATCCAAGGTCTACAAAGCCCTCAAAAATCCATCAGTAAAGACTGGCTCATTGTAGACCCCAAGGTGAAACCTCTTAGTGTTAGTGGTCCAGGAAACTTACTTCTGAAGGTGAGGGATGAAGAATAAAATTCAGTGAAGGAACTGAAACCCAGTGAGGGATGGGGCAAAGGAGAGATAAGGCATGTAAGAGGCAGAGCAATTTAGAGAAGGCTGAGCACCAAGCAATTCCAGATGCAGAGAGAAGCATGATGAGATATATACATGTGTGTGTGGGTGTAGGTGCATATACATCCACACGCATACATATATTCTCATATTTAGTCTCTCTCATAATCTCTGTAATATTTCTAAGTAGCAGTGTATTCAAGTACATACAGACTATATATCTCAGCACTGTAGGGTTCATACTGCACAAAGGGACCTAGATATTATCAAATCAATATCTATTCTGGGTCTAAGGAATTCCTGAGTTCTTCCCCAAGTCTGAGGAAAGTATACTTTCTTTCTATAATTATCTCTAACTCCAATTATTCTTCATCTGATAAATAAGTCTAGTTCTTTAATAATCTTGTAATATCATAGATAGGGTTCTTGTTATCTGGCTTACTATCAACCCAAATGCAAGCTCTGGCCCTTTCCCTTACTCTCCTACAAATGTGAAAATACCATTATTCCTATGAAGAAAAGCCTGTGTTCATATAGATAACTGAGTTGAAGTCCTAAAAGAATAGAAGTTGGAAGACACTCATAAAACAGAAAGAGACAAAAAAAAAATTCTATGAAGTATTAGACATTCCTGTCTTAGGCTTCCCTGGTGGTTCAGCTAGTAAAGAATCCTCCTGCAAAGAGGGAGACCTGGATTCAATCCCTGGGTTGGGAAGATTCCCTGGAGAAGGAAACAGCCACCCACTCCAGTATTTTGGCCTGGAGAATTCCATGGACCATATAGTGTGTGGGGTCGCAAAGAGTCAGACACAACTGAGCGACTGTCACTCACTCAAATACTCTCCGGCCTCCACTTCACTAGGAATGTCTGTTTCTTGACTAATTTACATCAGGCCATGCCCAGCCTTACACAGTTTCACCATCTCTTCACTACCTTTCCTCTTTCTTGACTGTAGACTTCATTCAAGCCTCCCATACAACCATGGGGAATCTGAATTCTCACTCTAATTAACAAATTAAGTCATCTCTCTCTTCTTCCTCCACAAAACTTCATTCCTGGCTCATATTGTCTTGTTAAAACCTAGCAACAACCTCAACATAATGAAAGGGTCTTTTATTTTCTAACCATATCAACTCTCTTTAGAAAGCAGCTGTAATTTATAAAAAACGAACATGTTGGCATTTGTAAAAATATATACAGAGAAGCCTGGCGGGCTACAGTCCATAGGGTCGTACAGAGTAGGACAAGACTAAAGCGATAGCACGCACACAGCACACACTTAAACTGTCTACCAGAAATGTATGTTGCTTTAGTTCACTGACTCTCACAAATTCCTGGACAGTTATTTTGATATTATCTCCTTTGTAGACTGACAAAACTGAGAACAAGAAGGATGTGATAGTTTTCAGAGTCATGCAACCAATAGGTGGCAGAATGATTCTCTCAGGTCTCTATGACTCTTTAAATGAGGTTCTTAGTTGTTGTGGTACGTATACACATGCAAACAAACCCAAACTCAAGCTCTTGAGGGTACACACACACTCTCTCTATCTCACAAAAAATAATAGAGTTCGAAGATTCTGTGAAACTTGATTTAAAGCAGATTGCTCAGGACCCTTGAATTAAGATTTGGGAGACAAGAAAAAAGTTGGGAGTTGGGAATTCAAGGTCTAAAATTAATCAAGGTGGCTATCTTCCAGGGAGAGAGAGTGGGGAGGAATTATAGGTAAGGATTTTCTTCCCTGTCACCTTTTCTAAGCAGTCTTATTCCTGGTTGGGAGCAGCTGCCCGGAGCTCCATGGAGGGAGCTCTGTCATCACCTGTCATTGGTCACAGGAGCCACATGGGTGGCAGGAAGTGGTCTTCTCATGCCCAGGTCATGTCTCACACCTGAGGGCAGAGCCCAAGACCAAGATTAAAGGGCCTTGGGGCCAGAGCACCTCCATCCACTCCTCTCCTGAGGTGCTGACAACCCTGTGCTGTGTGTACTGAGTGTCCCCTGGGAGTGGGAGCAGGAGCTTCCACAGAGGATGCTCAGAGCAGAAGGGGGGTGGGCAGGGCCTTGGGGATGGCAAGAATGAGGGGAACCAGAGAGAAAATCTAGAAATCTGATGAAGGATGAGCTGTGAGGCAGGGGGTGGCATTTGTGTATCTATGCTCTGTGCTCTAAGTTAGTTCTATACCTTTTTGAGTTTCTCAGATAAGATAGAACTTTCAGAATGAAAATCTTACCCTGGAGAAATCAGCTGTGTTTCTTCTACACAGCCTCTACTAGGGTCACAGTGATTTTCAAACAGTGGAGACCAGAGGCAGCATATTTGCGGTTTGATAAACACAGAGATCCATGGGTCTCAGCCTCATGAAGCATTATTGAGTTGGTCAGGAGTGCTGCCTGGTCATCTGTATCAGAAACTCAAAAGTTGAATGAGTAACGCGTTAAAATTCACCTGCTAAAGTGTGAAAAAATGATTCTGTGTTATAAAGGGTGTATAACCAAGACTAGATTCACTAGACCAGAAACCCTACGTTCACATTCAGCTTGCCTTGATTGGTTTGGGACTCTCTTCTCTATTTCTAAAATGATTTGGTGACTCTAGTTTACATACACATAGAAATAGATGTATACCTGTACACATAGGTATAGATATATACAAGTATGAACATAGATAAATACATATACAAATAGATAATATATAAACAGAATTGCAAAGGATCAACATATGGGCTGGTTAGCCAAATACATATGCATAATTATGAAATTATATATGATACATATGATAACAATATGTGTCTCTGGAAAGCTCTCTGGGAAATTCCTCCAGCAGGGAATTCTTAGTTCTTCCTTAGCAGAGAGCACTGCTGCTCCAAACTGGCTCCTCAGTCAGTCAGATCAGTTGCTTAGTCGTGTCTGACTCTTTGTGACCCCATGGACTGCTGCATGCCAGGCTTCCCTGTCCATCACCAACTCTTGGACCTTGCTCAAACTCATGTCCATTGAGTCAGTGATGCCAACTGGCTCCTAAAGTGGACATTTTCAGAATTCTGAGTGGTGTAGAGTGAGCTTGAGTCCAATTTTGTGAAGGCTAATTTTGCCTTCTCTAGTGAAAGTATCCTGATTTCGGGCAACTTTGTCAATTCAGTTGTCCTCTATGTCTTGCGTTGTTGAAAGAAGACAATCTATGTCTGTTTTACAAAAAGCTCTCAAATTTCAAATGAGATAGTGGGAAAGCATTTGAAAAACTCTATTGTAGGTATAACTGCTCTGTGACTTACTTTGCCAGGCTTTTAGAAGGTCAGAGAAAGACAAGATGGGAAAAGTCCATAAAGGAGGTCTCTGTGCTGGTCTGGCCTGTTCTCTGACTCTCCCTCAGCTCCTGCACACACCCACCAAGATGTCCTGTCAGCAGAGCCAACAGCAATGCCAGCCCCCTCCCAAGTGTCCCACCCTGAAATGTCCCCCAAAGTGTCCCCCGAAGTGCCCCCCAGTCTCCTCCTGCTGCAGTGTCAGCTCCAGGGGCTGCTGCCTGAGCCACCACAGGCGCCGCAGGTCCCACCACCGCAGACCCCAGAGGTCTGACTGCTGCAGCCAGCCCTCGGGGGGCTCCGGGTGCTGTGGAGCGGGGAGCGGTCAGTCCTCTGGAGGCGGCTGCTGCTGAAGTGGACGCTGAGCCAAGCAGAGCTGACCTGGGGACGGCAAGTGGACAAACACCTCCTCCTCCTCCTGCTCTTCCTGCTGGGCCTGCCCCTCTCGCTGGGGGTCTGGGCGGGGCCTTTGAGCTCTGGTCCTGAGGATCCCTGTGCCCTGGGATCAGGAACCCGAAACCTCTTCTCCAAACCAATTTATTGACCTCCTTTCCCTTAAATGTGACAGCCCTGGGAATCCAAAGCATAGATCCCGTGTCCTTCTGCAGCGTCTCTTTTTGCATAAACCAGGCTGATGTGAAACAGTAAAGCTAGAAATCTGTATTCCTTCTTGCATTGACTGATTTTTTATTCCTACATCATTTTTCTCATACTATGTCCTCATCTCCTGGTTCCCTTAATGTGTCAGTATCTACAGGTCTTGTCCAGATTTATCTCTTGTGCTGCTAATGTCCTTTATAGCAAAACAAAATTTTATTGATTCAGTATCTAATTCAGGATCTGACATTGCATTTAGTTGCCATGTCTCTCTTGTCTCCTATTTATGACAGTTCTTCAGGTTTTCTTTGTCTTTCATGACCGAGGTTTTTTAAGAGCCACTGGTTTTTGTACAGTGTACCTCAATTCAGACTTTTCTAATGTTTCTTCTTGACTAGATGTGATTTAGCATTTTTGTAGGGATCCCATAGAAAGTGAAGTGAAAGTGTTAGTCGCTCAGTCATACCCAATTCTTTGTGACCCCACAGACTGTAACTCGCCAGGCTTCTCTGTCCATGGATTTCTCCAGGCAAGAATATTGGAGTGGGTAACCATTCCCTTCTCCAGGGGATCTTCCCTACCCAGAGATCGAGCTTGGGTTTCCAGCACTGGGGGCAGATTTGTTTTACCATCTGAGCCACCAGGGAAAATGGTACTATATCCTTCTTAGAATTTGATATTCAGTTTTGTAGTGTACATAATCACTTGTCCTATTCCTGGTGATACAACTTTGACCACCAGGTTTAAGTGATGTCTGCCAGGGTTCTTCATTGCCTAGTTACCAGTTTTCTTTTTTAACATGTAAACATATATTACCATATGTAAAACAGATAGCCAATAGGAATTTGCTATTTAACTGGGGGAACTCAAATCAGTGCACTGTAACAACCTAGAGGGAGTGCAATGGGGAGGGAAGGAGGGGACATATGTATACCTATGGTTGATTCACATTGATGTTTGGTAGAAACCAACTCAATACTGTATAGCAATTATCCTTCAATTAAAAATAAATAAATTTAAAAATTAAAATAACTGGTGAGAGATACTTTGATAGTATTTAAATATCTCTATTTTATCAAATATTTACCCCAAACTTTTTTGGACTCTGTTCATTCTATATGAAACAATTATTACTCTGGTGTCACTGATGTCATTGGTTATAATTTGTCTTAAATATTGATCTCGTATCCTGCTACTTTGCTGAACTTTTTTATTCAGTTTAGTGCAACGAACACTTTTGTAAATGAATTTTTCCTATATCATATCTTTATTTTCTTAGGCTAAGTTTACTTTAAAAGTTATTGAATGAAAGGCTATGTTCATTTTAATTTTAAATTGATTACACAGTAGTAAGTACTAAATTGTCATCCAGAATAATTATGCCAATTGATATTGTCACCATCAAATTTGGATGTATATTACCACAAATTCTCACATCCAAAATTTTGTTAGCCATTACAATAATTGTTATTTTGAAACAAATAAGTTAATCTGATAAACCACATCCCCAAAGATAAGATATTTATTCCTTTTTTTGTAATGTTTCAAACATTAGTAATGTTGAACATGGTATGACTTTTAGCATCATAGATGGCCTCCTGAGCATACCCAGCTCTTCCTGTAATTCCATCGACCCTATCAGGACTGTACTGTGTAGTAACTCTTTTCTCTATAGTCAGGGCTGTGTAGTTAATAGATATTGTCTAATGCTTATTAGATTCAGGTAGCCTCTCTGCCCTGTTAGTCTCAGACAATGAAAAAGACCTTTGCTGCTATATTCCTAGTACCCATGAGACTAGTTATCCATCATAAATGAGATAAGGTCTTGACTTAGGAATGCATTCCTGGTCTTCAAGGATGTACCCCATTCCCTAGATTAACTATAAAACTGACCTGATGGCCACTTGGTTGTTCAGGGGGCAGCAGCTCATGCTTTTGGATTGTCATTGCCCAGTCCTACTCATTTGAATGTTAACCACAATAAACTTCATGTTTCTATTTTAAGGAGTTGTTTGCTTTGTTTTCAGTCTCAAGATATCTTCTCAGTTCAGTGGTCACTTTTCAATCCCTTTGTCCTCAGACAAACATCTTTTCAAATTTTTTGTGCCTTTGTGCTTGAGAAAATGCACTCACGCATATGTGTGTGTATGTGTGTGTGTGTATGTGAATAAGAATGGGCTGCCTCTTTCCTTTGTCTATTAGATTTTTTTGTATTTTCTTTTTCCTTTTTAAGACATATTTTTATATTAGGGATATTAAATCCTTACCTGGCACATGTGTTGTATTTCTCTGTGGTTGATTACTTGTCCTTTTGCCTTTGCAACATGCAATTAAACTTGTATATAATTTATCCACCTTTTATCCCACATATTATGGGATTTGTGCCATTCTTAAAGTATTTTCTGGCCACTTAATAATGAATTAACGATCTCCTATATATTCTATTTCCTTTATAGTATTGTCTCATCATTTAAAATTTAAAAGAAAGTTTTTCAAAAATGGGAAAAAAGCTAAAATGTGTTAATGTACCAGTTTGTAGCTTAAAAGGGAGGAGACTGGGAAGACCCAGAGGGATCAGGCAGAGAGGGAGGTGAGACGGGGGATCGGGATGGGGAATACATGTAAATACATGGCTGATTCATGTCAGTGTATGACAAAAACCACTACAATATTGTAAAGTAATTAGCCTCCAACTAATAAAAATAAATGAAAAAAAAAAGGGGGAGGAGAGTGAAAAGGTACAGCAAAAAGAATACAGTCTGAATTACTTCACATTAAATCTCAGCAGTGCCTCCTCCAGCTCCCTGAGAAGATGACAGAATGAAAAAGTAAGAAAAAGAAACCTTGTGTTAATGCGTGGCCTCAGAAAGCCTTTGGTCACCAAACTGTTTATTGAATGAGGCTAAAGCCATTGACAGCTAATATCCAAGGCCAAAGGGTCAGTCCAAGTGATATGGTTATAATCATATCTCTGACTCATCACTCAAGCCCAAGCAGATTGATATTTGGGCTCTGCCCTACCTCAAGGAAGAGGTGTGGCCCAGATGACTCTTTACCCCATCATTCTAGGAATCAGAGCTGGGATCCTGTGTGAGCCAGTGCACAGATATCCTGTCCACTCCCCCATAGCTAAGCTAATTGAAACAACCTGGGCTAATGTCATAACCAGGTGAGACAGAGGCAGATCTCTGCAGGATGATGTGGCCATCACAACTCACTGTGCCTGTCTCAGTGTGTGGTCTCCTAGGAGCATAACCTGTTATAGAGTAGAGCTACTTGTAAACTGCAATATCAGTGCTAATGCTAATGAAAGGATTTTTAAGAATCTCTGAACCACCTGTGTGTGTGTAACCTTGTACAGTTGCTGAAGGGAATCAGAAACATAAGACCCAAGTTGTATTGTCAGAGGATCTATTAAAATTTCATTCATGAGAAATGTCACATAAAAGATATGGAGTAAGCAAGACTTGAACTCCCTGACTCAGAAAGGAAAACATCATGGAATAAAGCATAGGACTAGGATAGGGAGATGGTGAAGGACAGGGAAGCCTGGCATGCTGCAGTCCATGTGGTCGGAAAGAGTCGGACACAACTGAGCAACTGAACAACAGAAGGATAGGGACAGACATGTTTCCAGTACAACCAATATGTCAGTTCTTTCAGGGAAGCAAATCAGAAATTGAATTAGTTGTACTAAGTCATATTGCAGAGAGCCTTGGATGTCAGTCAAAGTGCTGCCCTTGACCCTGAACATGCTCTGGAGCCCTGGATGAGACTTCCTTAAAGTTTGGGGGTAATGATTCCTAGGGTGTGGGATGATGGAGAGAGAACACACTTGTGTCCCAGTGAAGATTGGCATCAAGGATAAATCCTAAAACATGGAGGCAATGAAACATCAGAGGAGGCTGTGCATCTTGAGATATCTTGTACTGAGAACATAGACAAGGTGGATTCTGTATCCATATCTATGTCTATATTGTATACACTGTTAAGCAATTTAAAATACAATTATGTCCACATATACAGCTCACCAAAGGTCTGTCTAGTCAAGGCTATGGTTCTTCCAGTGGTCATGGATGTGAGAGTTGGACTATAAAGAAAGCTGAGCACTGAAGAAGCTCCTTGCAGTCCAAGGAGATCCAACCAGTCCATCTTAAAGAAGATCAGTCTTGGGTGTTCATTGGTAGGACTGATGTTGAAGCTGAAACTCCAATACTTTGGCCACCTGATGAGAAGAGCTGACTCATTTGAAAAGACCCTGATGCTGGGAAAGATTGAGGGCAGGAGGAGAAGGGGACGACAGAGGATGAGATGGTTGGATGGCATCACTGACTCAATGGAGATGGGTTTGGGTGGACTCTGGGAGTTGGTGAGGGACAGGGAGGCCTGGTGTGCTGTGGTTCATGGGGTCGCAAAGAGTTGGACACGACTGATCAACTAAATTGAACTAAATACAGCTCACCAGATATTGATTCTCCTTGCCCGACAGACTTAGGTGTAGATACTACTGTTAGGTCTTTGTGTGTGCGCTAAGTCGTGTCATACTCTTTGGGACTCCATGGATTATAGCCTGCCAGACTTTTCTGTCCATGGAATTTTCCAGGCAAGAATACTGGAGTGAGTTGCCATTTCCTCCTCCAGGGAATCTTCCTGACCCAGGGATCAAACTCCTGTCTCTTGCATCTCCTGCATTGGCAGGGGGGTTCTTTACCACTGCGCCACCTGGGAAGACTGAGTTATGTTACCTCCTCTCAAACTCTAGAGAGTTATTTTGGACACTTATGGAGGGAGCGCTTTCTTTTCATAGCTAACTCCTAGGTCTAATTGGCCTTCATCTAATTAATTTGATGATTTTTTAAAATACTGCTGCTCTGTAGGCACGGGAGGACACAAACAAAATTAACATCAGCCAATATATTAATCTCCATAAAACGTTCGAAGGTTAAAAAAAAAGTCCTTGAAGGAACACTTGCGTGGAAGTCTTCCTATTCTGTCAGTTCCTCCTGCCTCTTCCAGGTGGAGGCTTATTTCCACAGCATCCTCCTCTACAAATGCCTCAGGACTGAATTCTGTCATTGTCTCTCCTTGCTACTTTCTGGTCCACATGCTCAGCCTCTTTCCTCATGTAAGGTCCTTGGAAGGCAAATTCTCATTCTATCATTGAAGCCAATGCAGATTTACTCTCTAACTCCTCTACATGGATATCATTTTATGAAAATGTACAAAAGAACTCAGTTGAAAAAAAAATGCTCATTTAAAAAGTTAGATGTACTTATCCTAGAAAATAACTTACCTAAAAAAAAAAAACTACTCATTTTTAATTATCAGTGAGTAGATAGCTCATATGTGAGGGTCCATTGTGTTACAGGGCCTTTTGCAGGAAGAAAAACATCTTTCTTCTATGATTCTGTTGACCCTCAGGATACTATTGAGAGTGATTCTTAGCAACTAATTTAAAGCTGAGGAAACTAAGAATGCGAAAAGTTGGGTGATTTTTCACAAGATCACACAGCTGAGTGTCAGGACCGGGATTCTGTCCCTGGTGTGTCTCACACCCAATCCAGGCTTTGAACCGGACTGGTACAAACACACACAGGCACACACGCATGATGGGCCTGGGGGGCTGGGGCACAGCAGAGACACCTGGAGACTTCATGAATCTCAGTTCAAAGCAGACCATCAGGGAATTAGGACAGGAGTGCTTGGGAGGCCGAACGCTAAGACGAAGGTGTGAGGGACAGACAGATGCAAGGAGAATGAGGTGGCACTGATGCTGGCGATGCCCTGAGCCCCATGGAGGGAGGCAGGGAGGAGCTGTCAGTCATCACCTGTCACAGGAGCCACGTGGGTGGCAGGAGGCGGTCCTCTGATGCTCAGGCCCTGTCTCACACCTGAGTGCAGAGGCCAAGGCTGGGATAAAAGGACCTCGGGGCCAGAGCACCTCCATCCACTCCTCTCCTGAGGTGCTGACAGACCCTGAGCTGCTTGTACTCTGGTGAGTGTCCACTGGGAAGGGGAGAGGGCCTTGGGGGCTGTGGTCCATATTATTAGAGAGAGACAAGGCCTGGAAGGACGGAAGGAGCCAGGAACTGGCAGGAAGAGTGAGAGAACCATAGGAGTTTAGTGATGACTAAGGACACTATGAGGGAACCAAAGATGCTGTGTAGGACTCCCAGGATGAAAGAAGCCTACATTGGCTGCTCTGACCTTCTGGAACAGGTCTCAGAAATGGAGTTTACCTTCGAGAGATACTGTATTCCCTGCAAAGTACGATCTGGGGACAGCAATTCTCAGAGTGAGGCAAGGATCAGAGGCACTCTGGGAGATTGCTGCATACATGGGTGAGGATAGAGCCTGGGAATACATTGTACAAGTTCTAGAGGGGAGAAAGCACAAGAAGTTTAAAGCTCTCTAGGTCAAGGATAGTGTAAGAGGTGTCTCTGAGACCATCAGAAGCCAGGTTCTAATAAGGGACCTCTTATCTTTCTCTCTAACAAGGTGAACTGGCCAGGAAATTGCTAAGACTCCTTTCAATCTAATGTTGTAAATGTCTAAAATATTCAATTATTTGCAAAGTTAACAAAATATTTTTTCCATAAAGAAAATATTTTGGTAATATTTGGATGACATAAATGAAAAAATTATGTTTTAGTTAACATCATTTGGTCTCAGTCTTCAAATTGATGAAGCAATTGGTGACCTCTTTTTACTTTAAAATGATAAGCTGAAGTTCAAAGGAGATGCTGTCAGAGTAGTTGATAAGACATTAAAATGATAAAAGGGTCAGGTTATTTAAATGCATGTATTAGAAATGATTCTAAAAGTTCAGGAAGGGGCAGGGAGGTCTCTGTGTGCTGGTCTAACCTGCTGTCTGTCTCTCCCTCAGCTCCTGAACCCGCCCACCAAGATGTCCTGCCAGCAGAACCAGCAGCAGTGCCAGCCCCCTCCCAAGTGTGCCCCCAAGTGCCCCACCCCTAAGTGCCCCCCAAAGTGCCCCCCAGTCTCCTCTTGCTGCGGTGTCAGCTCTGGGGGCTGCTGTGGCCCCAGCTCCGGGGGCTGCTGCAGCTCTGGGTGTGGGGGCTGCTGCCTGAGTCACCACAGGCGCCGCAGGTCCCACCATTGCAGACCCCAGAGGTCTGACTGCTGCAGCCAGCCCTCGGGGGGCTCCGGGTGCTGCGGAGGGGGGAGTGGTCAGTCCTCTGGAGGCGGCTGCTGCTGAAGTGGACGCTGAGCCAAGAAGAGCCGACCTGGGAACAACAGATGGACAAACACTTGCTCCTCCTCCTCACCTCTTGCTGGGCCTGCCCCTGTCCCTGGGGATTTGGGTGAGGCCTTTGAGCTCTGGTCGAGGGGATCCCTGTGCCTTGGGGTCCAGGACCCCCAAACCTCTCCCCGAAACCCATTTATTCACCTCCTTTCCCACATGTGCGGCAGCCTTGGAAACCCCAAAGCACAGACCCCATGTCCCTCTGCAGCTTCTCTTTTTGCATAAATCAGGCTGATGTGAAACAATAAAACTAGAAATCTGTATTTCTTGTCGGATTGGTTTTCTATTCCTACCTCATCTTTCTCATACTCTGTCCTCAACTCCTAGTTCCCTTAATGTGTATCTATAGACCCGTTCAGATTCACCTCTTGTGCTACTAATGTCTCTTACAGCAAAACAAAATTTTGTTGATTCAGAATCTAATTCAGGGTCCAACATTGCATTTAGTTGCATGTTTCTTCAGTTCCCTCCTGTTTGTGACAGTCCTTCAGGCTTTTTGTCTTTCATGGCCTGGACATTTTTTTTATGAACTGTTGGTTTTGTGGACAAACACTCAGTGTGGTTTGTCTGAGGTTTCTTCTTGACTAGATGTGATTATGCATATTTATAATGGTTCCCACAGAAGTGATGCTATGTCCTTCATAGAGTCAGAAGTTATCCCTCACATGATGTGTAATTGACTCATTCCTGGGATCCTGAAAATTGCAATGAAAGTATTTGGGAAGACTCTGAAAAAGTGAGACATTAAATTTCTGAATTCTCTTCCATTGCTTGTTTTTTTGGCAGTAGAAGTAGCCTTCCCACCCCACCTAAGTAAATTAATCCTGTATTGTCCCAGCGAATTACAACAACTTTGCCTGAAGTAGTTGCCTTGCAGGAGATGGGTGGTTCTCACCTGGACACACTCTCACCATCTCCCTTTGCTCTTAGATGTATAAGTGAACTCAAATTCAAGTAGGCCTGAAAAGCTGAGGCATGAATTGTGACCAACAAACAGTTGGATTATAGTCCAAAAGAACTACATGATTTTTTCCCTGATTTATACAGACACAAACCCAGGGGTATGTGTAGAATGTATATTAGGAGCATGGGATAATTATGAAAGGAACTTAAAGTTGCTTCAGGCCAAATTTATTGATATGATCAGGCAAGTAGATGTTCCTAGACTTAACATTCTAACATTGTGGGTTAGACAAGGCTTTAACAGTTTGGCTGATTGGTTGCCATGAAGAAAAAGTCAGTCTCCACTAAATGAAGGTTAAATGCAAGAACTTCCTTGGTATACTGCAGAGGAAGGGATCCAGAGGCTTGGGTTGATTAGAATGTTAGAGTGAAGTTATCATTTATATCTGCTTGTCCATCCCAGAAAGGTCTAGAGGACTCACTTTTTACCACAACCAGGAGAAATCAATTTGTAAGGAGAGCCCTGGCATCTTTGACTAACTCTGCAATTGCGCATCTCTCTAAGTTAAAAACTACAGTGGAATCTGATGTCACTAAATTGGGAAACCAAAATGCAATAGCGATAATTGGATCCAGGATAGCAGGGCCAAGCGGCAGCACTTAGTCACCAATAGCAAAGTGGGTGTGGCGACTGTAATGGACCTCAACATCAAAGTAGCAGTCAGGATGTTCTGACTCCCAGAGAGCTATGTCTCTGCTAGGCCATCATGCTGTACTTAGAAGTGAATTAGATTGGAAGTCTACTAAATTCTCAGTTGATCCATATAAGTGGAAGAGTTCTAAGACATGTGAATAAAACTCTGACAAGAAAGAACATGCTCCCCAATCAGCTTCTAGTCTTGAGCTAGTTAACAGATCCAGAACTTTTTGAATTAAGGAGAGGCCAAGTCTCCTTAAAGAAGGATTCCAGTACTCTGCCCAAAAGTTATACTGTCAATCTTTTCCCCAACCTTCCTCAAAGGGACCTAGGACCTTTGACCAGGGTGATTATGGTTATTTATGGGTTCAGCAGGATTTTTACTCATAAGGGCTGATGTGTCTATAAAGACCAACACTGAGTTCACAATAAGACACTATTACTTGGGTTGATCAGGCAAATACCTGGTGGCAGGTTGACTGCATCAGGACACTCACATCATGAAAGGGCAGTGCTTTGCTCTTATTGGAATAAAGATTTCCTCTGGATACAGATTTGCCTTCTTAGCATGCAATTCTTCTGCCAAAGCATTCATCTGAATGAGCCTTAATATGAATGGATAAGAAGGATAAGAGTGCCTTATCCATCATCATGGTATTCCATGTGGCACTGCTTTTATGATAGTTAATCTTATTTTTTGGCCCAAGTGGCCATAGGGTGCCAAGGCTAAACAATATATCTGGATACATCTGTGAGGGTGTTTCTGGATGAGATTAGTATTTGAATCATCGATTCAGTGGATTACTATCCCCAGTGTGGGTTGGGAATAATACAATTTGTTGAGAGCCTAAATAGAACAAGTAGCAGAGGATGGAAGATTTTGCCCTTTTAAAATTTTTGCCCAATTTTGTGGGGATACTGACCTTCTCCTGCTCTTGGCACTGCTGTTTCTTGGCTTTCTGGCCCAGACTGGCATCTACACCATTAGCTCCCCTGATTCTCAGGCCTTTAGACTTGGACTGAAGTACACCATCAGCTTTCTGTGGGACTTTACTGCATCCTTTATTGCATTAGCCCAATTTCAAAAATAAATCTCTTCATGCATACATATATATAATCATACTTTTGTTATAGAATTCACTGTTCTTACCATGTTCCCTATCATCCTCAAGCAGCTGGATCATCAAACTGTGGAATGGCCTTTTAAAGACCTAGTTACTGAACCAGCATAGTGGGAATATCTTGCAGAGCTGGGCAAGGCTCTTTAGGAGGCTACATGCTACATGCTCAAAATCAGCAATCAATATTATGGTTCTGTTTCTTCTACAGTCAGATGATATATGTCCAGGAGTTAAAAGGTGGAAATAGAGTGGCACCTCTCACTACTACTTTTAGAGATCTCCTAGCAAAATCTTTGCTTCTTGTCCCTATGACCTTATGCTGTTCAAGAGGTTCCTTAGGTTCAAGAGGTTCCTAAGGGAGGAAAGCTTCCACCAGGACACACCATGACTCCACTGAACTGGAAGTTAGGACTGTCACTCAGCCACTTTGGCCTCCTTATGCCTCTGAATCAGCAGGCAAAAAAGGGAGTTACTGTGCTTGTTGAGTGATCAAGTCCAATTACCATGAAGAATTTGGACTATTACTTCAGAATGGAAATAGAGAAGGACATATATGAATATGAAAGATCACTTAGGGCATACCTTAGTACTACCATACTCTTTCATTAAAGGTAATGGAAAAACTACAACAGTCTAATTCAAACAGGACTACTAATGGTCCAGACTCTCCAGAAATTAATGTTGGGTCACTCCACCAGGTAAAGAAGAACCACAACTAGGACTTTAATTATTATTATAGTATTTCCTCCATATTTTGCTATGAATATGCTTGTGTGTATGTGTGAATAGAGAGTCTTTATTTCATTTCTAATCTCCTTATCACATAAAGGGTATTGACTACTGTATTTAAGTGTGGTTCAACTGTGTATCACAATATTTAAGTTAAGGCTATCAAGGAAAAGAGTAAACATTACTCAAGGATGCTGCATCTTCTTCTGGGGAAACAGTTAGTGCATTTTTTGATGTACACAGTATGGTTGTATTATGTTAGCTGGAAATGTGACCTTGTCATTATCTTTATTTAGGGAATAAATATGATGTAAGGAGATGTATGGGGTTTCACTGGTGGCTCAGTGGTAAAGAATCTGCCTGCAATGCAAGAGACCTAGGTTTGATCCCAGAGTCAGGAAGATCCCCTGGAGGAAGGCATGGCAACCCACTCCAGTATTCTTATCTGCAGAATTCTGTGGACAGAGGAGCCTGGCGGGCTACAGTCCATGGGGTCACAAAGACACAACTGAAGCGACTGAGCACACACGAACATAAGGAGATGTGTAAAAGTGCCAAGTTGACAAGTGCTGAACTGTGATGGTTAATGTTATGTGTTAAGTTGGTGAAACCATGGTACCCAAATTGTAAGTTAAACACCAGTCTAGATGTCACTGTTTAGATTTTTTTTACATGTCATTGACATTTGAATCAGTAGACTTTGAGTAAACAAATCATCCTCCATAGTGTAGGTGGACCTCATGCCATCAACTGAAAGCCTTAAAAGACTGAGCACTCTAAAAGAAGAAAGAATTCTACCTACAGACTGCAGGCTGTAACATCAACTCTTCGATGAATCTTCAACCTGTCAACCTACTCTACGGATATCAAGCTTACCTGCCCCTACAACTATGGTAGCCAATTCCTTAAAATAAATTCCATTAGATACATGCACATGTCCTGTTCTGTTTCTCTGAAGAATTCTGACTAATACAATATGTATGAATATGTGTGTGTATGAGTAATAAGGGCTTTCCGTTTTTTTATCCATTACATTTTTGTATGTTTTATTAATTTTTGGATTTATAAGATATATTTATATGTTAAGTAAAGTAATTCTTTATCAGGTATGTATTGTATTTTTCTTTTGTTGATTATTTATCTTTTTATCCCATATATGGCATTTTATGCTATAAAATTATATTTTTGTATTTATTTCCATTACTCTAGAAGGTGGGTCATAAAGGATCTTGCTGTGATATATGTCAAAGAGTGTTCTGCCTATGTTTTCTTCCAAGAGTTTTATAGTTTCTGGCCTTACATTTAGGTTTTTAATCAATTTTGAGTTTATTTTTGTGTATGGTGTTGGGAAGTGTTCTAATTTCATTCTTTTACACGTTGCTTCCCAGTTTTCCCAGCATCACTTACAGAAAAGACTGTCTTTTCTCTACTGTATATCATTGCTTTCTTTGTCAGAACTGAGGTGCTCATAGGTGCATAGATTTGTTTCTGGGCTCTCCATT